AAGACCACATTGTAGAGCAGCAGCTGAAGCAAGGGATAAAGTCGTTGCTAGTCTTTTGGACTAGTCTCATTGTAAGCAGAGATTGAGATTGAAATTATTATTTATTTATGTTTTCTTTTGTTTGTTATTATTGTTTTCTTGTTTTATTTGATTATTTGTGATATTGAATAGTATTCTACTATTCAATGGGGGGGTGTGTGTGAGGATTTACGAGTGATTTATATTCATTGTGCTTATTGATTGTCAGTTATTATTAATTATTAGTTCATTATTATTCATGAATGTATTTTGTATATAAGAGAGTAATTTTTGTGAGCCATTTTGGCAATGTGTGGGCAGTGTGTAGAATTGTGTGAGCGTAGTCTGAGTGTTATTGAGTCGTTGGGAGATAGTGTGGCACTATCTATCTTTATTTGATATTATTGTTTGAACCAGTAAAGCTGGTATATTATTTGAAAGAGATTCTGTTGAAATATATATTTTGTGAAATTGATAGCGAGCCCGGCATTGGCAAGCTAACTAGTGAATCCTGAGCTGAGCTGACTACTAAGGAAGCAACTATATAGACGGGCTGGACGGCATCCCCGAATCCATAGAGAAGACGCCGTGACACAGAGCTGCCTTACATGGAACCACCAAAGCCTTGTAATCCTCACCGAAATCGATGACCTCCCGACTGGTATATGTCATGTGACTCATTAGAGAGGAGAGTTGTAGTTTATGTAACCAGTAACATGTATGTATTATGCACATGGATTATTAGTATTATTTTTAAGCATACGTAAAACACTTTGACCATGCAACGATTATATTATTTGGTGGACTTTTTTTGTGTGTTCTCTGATTCACCTTCATTCATTAATTACCATGTATGTTTGGAGCTAGACTGTATTAGCAATATCACTGACGACCTCATGCAGTCACTTTTTGTTACAAATTTTGCTCTATTCTGCATGTATAACTGTTATATATTCATTTGTTTACACATAAAACGTTCTTTCCTATTATAATTTCTCTTTGTGCCTCTTAAGATGGTCAAAGTTAATTTGTTACAGACGACTTCGTCAGCATAGGAGAATTACCACTTCAGAGAGGGATCCATTTACTAGTAAGAGGTTGCAGGACAAACTTTCTAGGCGAAGCGGAAAAGTCATTACTTTAAAAGATATTTCCAATATTAGTACTTCAATAAAAGCCAGCTGTACTTGCAATGATAAGCAACATGGTGATGAAAAACTTATTAAAACAATGGTACGTGAGCTCATTATCATATTAATGTAAATGTTTATGTGTATAAATAGGTACTGGCACTGTTGAGGTAGTAACAAATAAATCCAATGTGTTTCAAGGAATATAATTAATTCCAACATCAGTGTATAAATAATATATTTGCAGCTTATCCAGAGTATTACGCCATTGATGCCACGTATGAAGTGGTAGAGTTATGCTTTCCTTTTTACATTATTCTCATAAAAGATAGCAACGGACAGTGATATTGCTGCTGTCTTTTAATGCCAGAAGAAACTAAAGAATTTATGTCACATTATATGCATCTTGAAGACAGAAAATTCTAATTGGCCTTCTCTTCAAGTTTTTATGGGTGACACGGAACTTCATCAAAAAAAATGTACTTGCACATGCATCTCCATCTGCTCAGTGAGCTATTTACATATTTGACACCTTCCGTAGCTTTCGTTCTGAGATGGGTATTCCTTCGGGGCAAAAATATGTGCTTAGAATATCTGCAGCAAATGGCCTACTCAACATTTATCAAAAAGTTTGAAGAAATATAATTTCGCTTTAGTGATAATGCTCTAGCAACAGTCCTTAAGTATTTTGTTACAAATTGGCACCCTATTAAGCAACAGTGGACGATAAGGATAGAATACAGTTATGGATTTTTTTTATTCAACTAACAATAGAATGGAAATTTTAAATGCTAAACAAAAATCTATTATTTTGAATTATTCATCTCTTCAAGAGTTCATTGACAAGTTTTTTTGTTCTTAAGAGTACTTACAATCTCAGCGAGATCAGAAAGCTACTTTGCATGGCCAAAAAGTTCCTGTGGTTTATCATTCTACTAGTAATGCATCTCTTGTACAATATATTGAATACCTTATGATGCATGCCTCTAACTTCGTCAAACAAACAGATGGAGCTAAAAGCAAAGGAGACACTCACCCTAGGATGATCTATTTCATGTTAATTCAAGACAGGGGATTCTTAAAGTTTCATCAAATAGTTATGAATGTTTGTCCTATATATCCATTGGGTTTCTGTGTTGCCACATTATTGCAGTTAGAGACAAACTAGGCATCAGTTTGTTTCACGATGATCTGTGTGAGAAGCATTCGTCTCTTCTTATAAAGAAATTCAGCATGTATTTTAATCTAGTTCTTATTATAATTCTTTTAATGAATCTCAGGTGGTAGCAATGGCAGAGTTTCCTGCTCCCAGGAGGAGACCAACGTCTCAGGTATAATGTAATCCTAATTATTCCATCTGTTGGTCAGATAAAATACCAAGTACAGTGGTTGCTCATTTAGGATTTCTGTAATATGTACATACGTACATTGATGTACTTGTATATTTGCACTCGTACTTATTCTTGGTACGTATTCTTAGAATTTAACCCCACATTGTCACATGGGATTATGGAGATATTGTGATTATAAAATAGTCTCGAGGGCCGAATCCTGGTTGGGGGAGGAGAGGAGTTTGGCATACATCTCGACTTCCGCTTGTTCTCCTGGAATGCGGAAGTCACATGGGCATGCCTAACCGCGCAGCGGAAGTCATGTGATCAACGGTTACACTCCAATCACACGTTCTTCAACGTGTGAGTAAGATGGAATGTCTGGGCTGTGAACTTACTGTCCTTGGAGATCGACATGTTCTTGGTAATTCTCCTACTATTTCAACTTGGAAGTACCTTCTGCTAGTAGATGAAGGAATAGACGAGTCTCGTATTGCTAGCACAATTGAAACACACATTTTTATGTGTAAAAAGTGTCACATGAATTATGAGAAATTGGTCTCACTCCATGGCAGCATAAAAGAGTCTCTCAGTAACGTAAAATCAGCTATTCTTGGCATCAATTTAGGCACGAACACTACAGCTGAAGTTTCTCAAACACTCAATGAATCTGGAAAGAGAACTTTCTCTCTCACTCAATAGCAGCTGCTGTTGTACCTTTGGCAGCAAAGATGCCTAGAACTGATTCAGAAGCCGAGGAACCAAGGAAGCTGACAATTGTTGTAAGTTATAATTTTCAATTGTTAATATTGTACTAAAACTTGAAGAGCTTGAGTGATATGACTCTACTTGTGATTTACAACAAAATTTTTGTATGCTACAGGTTACAGTTTGTGATGATGAAAGAACGAAGACTTCAGTTATGACCCCTTCACATGCTGCTGATGTGAAGTCATCCGCAAAAGGTAGTTGGCAAGCTGTTGTTAATAGAAGCATGAAGGATCCTTTAAGAAAAGGCTACATTTTAAATAGTGTTACCACACTTTTGAAATACGAACTTAAGTAATTTTGTTTCAAAAGCCAACCTTTATTAACAGGCCATCGCCCACAGCAATTGATGAATTTTAAATGGATAAGCATTGTTAATAATGCAAAGATGTATATGCCAGCACTTTTGAAAATTTTGCGAGAATGTTTAAAAACTAAAACTAAGAGAGAGAATAAAACATCTGTGATTGGCATGATTATTTCCATTATAGCCAAGCAAAGAGTACCTCAGTTGTGCTTGCCACAAAAAGTCATATCACTTTTGCCGTATTCTGGACATTGCTCAAAGAAGGTTTATTTTGTATTAGCTTAGAATATATTATTTTTAATTTCATTTTAGGTGCTCAACCGATTAAACAAACCAAATATTTGTGGCCCATTGTATGACTCTGAAAACACTAGTACAACTTGGTTCTGACCACGACACTAGACTTAAGCAATGGAGAGATGATTTAGCTACAGGCATGTGCTTACGTAGTGATGATAATTGTGAGGTTTGTGACATGTATTGTGATGAACATATTAAATGTATTCTGTTATATTGACAGAGTAATGTGGATGACAGTAACTAAACTGTATTGGAACACAACCCTTTTGACTTGGTAACTGATGATTCAGATGGTGAAGATGAAAATGACAACACTTTTGAAGATACGTCTAAAAGTGAAGTTGCAACATCTTTGACATCGTCAGTTAATGAGGCACTGTCTGTCCAAATCATGTCAGAGTCAACTAATGAGTGCTCACCAGTTCCACCAGCTTATTCCAATATTTCTGTTGATGATGGCAACAAGGAAAGTGACATAGAAGCAAATGAAAATACTGAAGATACTAATGAAGGTACATCACTAACAATTCTGATTATACTATTATTTTTTTTACAAATAGAAGAACATTTTGAGGATGTATTTGGTTTCAAAATAATAGGAGATAACAAGAATGTGAGACCAAGACATAAACGGGAAGACAGGAAAACCATTTCCATGCATTACTATCACTCTTATGCAGTACATGATAGAGCTAGCATTTATGGACGATCCAATGATGTCCCTAATGTAAGAAATACCAATCTGCTTTCAATACCTGTCAATGAAGTTCTTCCTTCTTCAGCAGATGATCAAACTTTAGGAAGCACAATTTCACTGTACTTATTTCCCGCATTCTTGTCCAACACCTACAACTTTTCTCTGACAACTATCATGACGTGGTTGATAGGCACATCAAGCACATTTACTATAAAGAAATGAGTGGCAAATCTGATGTAGTAAGCTATGATTCACTAAGAAGACTCTGCACAGTGCACAGTGACATCACTACCAAAGGGAAAGCACAGGTGTTTAATTTATCAATTATAGAACATTAATATACATCATACTACATAATTGTAATTTTAAAATGCTCATAGCAACTTCCTTAGCAACTGCATCTAACTCATTTTAGTGGCACGTGACAAAAAGGGAGAACCCCATGAGTCATACCTGATGAGTCAGCAGAATTGCTTACATTTTGCTCTACAAGACAGTACCAAGCACTTGACTTTCTTACCAATGGCTCCCTTTGTACAAGATAAGAAGCAAATTATCATTGGAAGGTCACAATAGCAGCTCTGAAGTTTTTCTAAAAAGCTCTACATACTGAGGTGAAAGAACAGCATCAGTAGAGCATGATGGACAATGCCTTACCTAACTTATATTTTTTTGCGCGAAGAAACAAGGCCTGCAAGCAATGTATGTTAATTGTTCAATGTTTGCATTGGACCTCCGTGTCTATGGCTTTCTGCTTTACATGATAATCATAACATATGAGTGGGAAAAGGGAGAAAGAGAAAGACAGAGTAGTATGAGGACTAGTAGACTAGCATGAATTTAATTATTATAGTCAAGACTTTTTTTTTTTAAGGAGTGGCTCCAAAGAAGCGTTGTGTGGGAGCAGCTTAAAGTGGTCGTTTTGAAGCACAACATGCAGTCTTTCCACCCTGTTAGTCATATTGTTAACGGACCTCTCAGTATAATTAAAGATGGCATGAAGTGACTCAGCACCCTGCTCTCCCATCTGTCCACAACTGACTCTCCATTTTTTCACCCATGGGATGATGTGGTCCTCTAGCATATGCATCTTGGGCAGCACAGATGCTGAAGGAAACTGCTCTCGGTAGTACTTGAGGAATGCTACTTCTATAGTATCAGAAAGTAAGAATAATTTACAATGCCATGTAAACCTACCTACCTCTTCAATTGTACTTTCTGTTAGAAGTAAACTGCTGTTGTAAATGTGGCAGTTTGCAAAAAGTGAAAACAGATCTGTAAATTTGTCACAGATCTCTTGTGCCTTAGTTTGTACTGCTGGTACAGATGTTGCAGCAGTTTCAACGACAGACTGACACATGACTGTAATGTTATCGGGCTGGATAATTATAAATTATAATTGTCTACTAATTGATATTAGCATAGTTTCAAAGCTCTGTGTATATGGTTACCACTGAAGGAACCTCTATGATAAGCTTGTCACTCAAGATGAAATGACTTCAATACTTTGTCCACAGCAGTAACAAATATTCCTTTTTCACGCTCGAATCCCTTAGAAATTAGTCGGTTCTGTTGAGCTATTATTGTATTATCCTAAAAACAATGTTACAGTCCAAAGTAATATTTTACATTATTTTGACACTAACATTTGTATTCATCACTGTAGATTGGTTATGGATAAACTGGGTCACTTGTTGAACATAGCTGTCTTGAGTGGGGTTAGACACTGTAAGTAATAAAAGAGCTAACAGCTGCTGGGCCTGGTTTATTTCACTCCTGAGTATTGACTGTTGCGCTTCAAGTGATTTTACAGTGGATCTCACCTTCAGATATGTAGAAAAAGAATTTGATGCACCATTACAGTCATCAGCTACTTCAGTCAAGCAAGTGACGCTCCTCTTCCAATAGATCAAACAGCCTCTGAAAAATGCCCAGTGTTATGTGAAGGCCAGGTGGACATATCTAATGTAAGTATTAAGTTATAAAAGATTTTGATAACCTATTGTGTCAGTGGAACATCAAATAATGGTTTGCCAATCACATTGTCATAGAACTTTGCTCTTTTTAATTTGCATCTATTGGCCATAAAAGCCTTGTAACTATTCTCAAAAGTAGTCAGTGACCTTGCTGTTACAGTGTTAGTTGCTTGACGTATGTCTCAACTCTGTTTCAAGCAATCAGAAGTGATATTGCACCACAAGCAACAGTGTCGTCCTAAAATTAAAGTACCATATAAAAGTGTTAATAAATGAACAATAAATGTACCGCTAGCTCCAGAGATTCCATAAATGTTACATAACAACTCGTAATCTCCAGACATGAATATTCGTATTTTATAATCTCTATTTAGTATATTACAAATGTTTTCATTTTAGGTATCTTACTTCCACTGAGCAGTTTGAAGAAAAGTAATGCTGTCACAATACTAGTCTGAAGTCTGATGTAGATTG